TATTTGACACACGCAAAAAGTAAAAAAAACTTTTCCTTAATGCACAATTTTTCGCTACAGCGAATTGGATATGGCCGTTTTCTATAATCGTAACTCTCGCTAAGTACATATCGGAAATTTCAATATGTCATGTTGGCTTTCCAAATATTTTTTTTGAATATTTAACTAATTCTATGTGTTAGTGCATTACATTCCACGTTCAGAAATCAAGTTGAAACTTTTCCTTTAATGCACAATTTTTCGCTACAGCGAATTGGATATGGCCGTTTCCTATAATCGTAACTCTCGCTAAGTACATATCGGAAATTTCAATATGTCATGTTGGCTTTCCAAATATTTTTTTGAATATTTAACTAATTCTATGTGTTAATGCATTACATTCCACGTTCAGAAATCAAGTTGAAAATTTTCCTCCACTGCACAATTTTTTGCTACGGCAAAATTGCTTGTGTCGTTTTCTATTATTGTGACTCTCACATACTATTTATCAAAAATTTCAATATGATATATTGGCTTTCCGAATACGTATTGTATTTGTTACTGAATAAGGTTACATGTTCAATCCAAACTTCGTTTCATTCATGTTTATAATGTTATAAATGCCTCATTCACAAATGCCGTATTGTAATTTGTATTTTCACCAGCTGAAATGGCCTTATCTTATATTGTTTTAAATGTGGCAACTGGTATTTTTTTCAGTTACCGGTAATATTAGTCCAGTTTTTTTTTCAGTCCGGTAATATTAGTCCAGTTATTCTAAGGAGGTGTTGAAAAGTATAGGTAAGATATTAAACACTTGTATATCCTTGCCATAAATAGCAATTTTAGTTGAGCACTAGCTCATAAGACGTTGTTAAATAGGTACGGTGCGGTAACTCCAAGGAAGGCTAGACCTAGAATAATATGTCACAAACAACGATATTTTCTGGCTTGCATGAAATGTTTATGATTAATTTAATGACTCTTCTTGACTATTCAGCAGACTTATACTACTATATAGGCCACAGCATATTTGGAAATAGAAATGAATGGCTGTTTCTGTAATGCACGGTTGTGTGAAAGAGAAGAAATTAATCAATTTTACTAATGTCGGTTGGTCTAAATCTAAATTCATAGAGTCGACAAGAACCTGGGAAGCAATGATAAGTTATGCCGGAGTGGAAAGAAAGGTAGCATTGGAAACGATTGAGAGGTGAGAAATGAAGTTGTAGACAAACAGTTGATGTTTCAAAATATAGTCTATAGTCCATACTCATACTGTCATAGGACATTTCAGACTGTGATATATCAAAATTTAGTGTAGATATAGTCTAGTAATGGTATGCAAACACTGCTGGACTGTAGACATGCAATGAGCATATATACGCTCATTTAGTACATCAGATAAATAAAATGCATTATGTATTCAAGGTATTAGTTAGTATTTAGGGGTATTTTTAAAATCATGCTGCTCCAAATATTATTTTCTTCCTTATTTTAGATACTGTACTACAAAAGAAAACGGCAATGTTCCACCAATCCGACCTAACGCAGGCTCTGATCCCTGCTGCTATCAGTGCTATAAAATGGATTAAACAAGAAGTCTTGAAGCTTAAAGGTATATGAGAATCATAATAGTTGCAAACAGCTTAGATGGGCTATTCATATTGAAATACTTTAGCACTTTTCTGCAATTGGAACTGCCCATCAAATTCATGTTGGAGACTTCATTGAGATTTTCAATTCATTTTTTTCCCTCGACTATGAAGATCTTTTGAGGTTAACGAGGTATTAATAAATAAAGCTGAGGAATTTGAAGAGGATATGAAGAATGTAAATGATACCAGGGCACGTCTATTTAACACTGTCAAACATAAGGATTATACTCTCCACCCAACAATGATTCACTGAAGAAGCATGTGGCCCTCAAATCAGTTCTTGAGTTGGCAAACTGCAAAGAAAAATAGTCAAAATAATTTATGAAAGTGTGCCAAAATCAACTTAAATTGCACAGATTTTTGTTTTTGTATTGACTGCAGAAATCACAGTACACTATAGAGGAAAAGTCGATTTTTGAGATAGTGGATTTCGAAAACAATTCAGAAGAAAGTGAATTAGATATTACAGTTGATTTAATAAGTATCATACATTTGTTTTTTTTTCGGACATTTGTTAGTGTCGTAGTCCTGTTTCTAGAAATATTATTGCCTTTGTTCAAATACATAACCACATAAACTAAAAAAAGATTAATTGTAAATTGTAATATTTCTGTTCACTATGTTATGTACATATTTTACATTCATTTAATTTTCTTGACTTTTGCGGTAAATTTCTAAGTGAGAAATAACTGATTTATTTGTGTTTTCGTGCTCACGATGTTAATTTGTGACTTCATTGCTTAAAAATAAATACGTTTGATACTTGATAGCTTCTATAAAATGGATGTAGCTTTTTATGCTGTTCTTGTTGTAAACTGCTTGTGGTTATTACATAAAATTTATTCTCAAATGTGAATCAGCGTTGTTGGTGTCGCTGCTTTCGAGGTCACGACTCCTGTCACACAATTAAAGTATTTTTTGTTGTTACCCATATTTTTCGTAATCTACCTAATAAATTATGATTGACTGAGGAAGTCCGATTTTGGTCAGGCAAAACAGGAATACATTTGTGTTAGTGTGCTGTAGGGCTCTCGAATTGTATAGTTCTTATGTATGTGCGTTGTAAACTTATGATTTCCGGGAACCTCTTATATTCAATTTCGCAAGGATTGTGGGCTGTAATGCGTGCATTATGTTCGTTTTCACACAAAACTGAAGAATTTATTTAGTTACCAGATGTGCGCTACGAAACTCATTTTCTGGGCGTTTTCATGGTTTCGTCTCACGGCCCATATCCGTGGTAAGGATCTACAAGTGTTTAATAATTTACTTATACATTTTTCAACAACGTCTTAGCATAACTTAACTAATAATAACTAAACAGGGCTATGGAAAGCCTGCCCAACTCAGCGCAAGGTCGAGCAGAAATAACTAATATTCATCCGCTCGCTAACAGCTGGTTTAATTCAATTGTTACGTCATGCAGAAGTCATTGTTCAGTGCCGAAAATGTAGAGAATATAGGACAGATCGTAGCACATATTTCTTGTAGTAAAAGCGTCTTTTCCGTAAAACGTGCAACTTTTGGAAGTGGGAACAAGGCAATATTTGTTACTAAATTTTTAAGGAACATTTTAAAATCATTTTCAGGTAGTTACCTGATGTGCGCTACGAAACTCACTTTCTAGGCGTTTTTTCAGGGCCTCGGCTCGCGGCCTATAAATGATATAAAAACCACATCCAATTACAATGACCCACAGCAAATCTGAAGGGGAGAATCCAACATAGCTCTACTGCTCGCCTAGTTGCAATAATTAGTAACCTTGCAGGAACAATATTGTACTATCTACGACCCTTATACCACCACTCAACCATAAGACCAAGCGTGTATGATAAAGACACCACAGCTAGAAAAAGATAAAAACACGAGCGTGAAGTGATAGAATGTGTGCAGTTATTTAAAGAAAATATCATCCGGGTACGTTAGCTACCTATATATTTAAAATATATATTATATATACTCATGCATGTCAGAATACCATTTCTTTGATGCTGGACTAGTTCTGGCATACATTACGGTACCGGTAGTTTGTTTTGAAGTTACTGTTCTGATGTAGTACCGTATAGTTCCACATCACACTTTCAGATGGATGAAGGTACAAGACAGTCAAAGTCAGAACGGCACACTACCGGTACGGTACCTGACTACAGTTGACAGAAATGCACTTGTACAGCAACCTGGCAACGGAACTTCCATATCAAATTAGGAACACAGGGTACAATTAGGATTCAGTTTTTAATTGTCTACCCACGCACGTGATATATTGAATTTAGTTTAGCACTAAATAAATGTAATCCGAGTTTTAATCACTTTTCCCCCAACTTATACTACTTACTGAATATAAGTATAATAAGTTATAAGTTTATTTCGACTCCATAATCAGCAATAGACGATAAAAAATAAATAGTCAACAAGAGTAATGTATTGTGGATAGAAAAGTATTCCTCAAAAGATATCGTCAAGCTGATTATAATTGGAGTCACCTAATGCCAAATTGCCCAATCAGAATTGCCAAGTTGGATGTATGAAGAGGTGGGCTAGACCTGCTTCACTCATCAAATAGAAGCCACAACAAGCCAAATAACGTCCAAATTACTTTAAATACTATTAATCAATAACAGTACCTGTAATCATAATTAAAATTAATTCTGTAATTAGGGGGGTATGATACAGAGGTAGGAAAATTGGTTAAGGGAATATATATATGGTGTTTAAGGTTGGCAATTGTAATCCCATAGTAAGTTAAAAATAGAGTTGATCATATCCTTTTTTGAGACTTCAGCATAAATAGTAGATGCATTAAAAAAAAAGTTAACTCAAAAAGTTATGTCTCACTTCACCTCACTTTCAATCAAAATGTGTTTTACTGATCAAAACAGAGATGTAGGCTATCGCAAATATTTTCATAATGTATGTTAATGATGGGATTTTCAGGAAAAAATCATAATTATCATAGAAGTTTAAACGCTGGTGTAAACATGAATGGGAATCCGGGAATAGAAATCGGATGTGTTGTTCCTTCATCCTTCCATGCTTTACTATGAAATAAAAATTGTTACATTTTTATAATATTTTTTCTACCCATTGCGCAAAACCTTAAAATGTTACAACTCGAAAAATGCAAGGGAGTCTTTTGTGACATCCTACATTGTGGAAATCTGTTTTTTGAAAACAAATTGTGTTCAATGTATTTTGTTTTCACTTTGGTCATCGTATTATTATCAGTACGGTACTAATTGACTTTAGTCTATAATACTGCTGGGTTCATCCTAAATATCAAGACTGACAAGCATTTATTTACTCATAATTTTAGAATGACATTTGTATCTAAGTTTTGAAAACTGTTAAATTAGGCATAGAATCATGCATTATTTTGCCTTTTCTGCTGGTATGAAGGGATTGAAGTATTGCGGGAAACGTGGTACGGCAGTTATACTAGGAGCTGGTGCTTTATTTTGGTTGTTTCGTAATGGACAGAAATGTCTTCGATTGCGGCAAAATGCCGCCAAAAAAAGAGAAGCAGAGCAGGAATATATTCAACAGAAATTGAATTCACTTGGAGGGGAACTTGATGAAGATATGGTCAGACAAATTTTGGACTTGAAAGGACCTGAGTTGTTAAAGCGACTAAAGCAAGGTAGTTTAAATCCTGTGAATGTTCTGAAAGCTTATATTTATGAAGCCTGCAAAGTGACCGGCCAAATTAACTGTGTAAACGAAATAATCAAGGATTGTGAAGATTTTGCAATTAGTTTAAGTGAAAAGGAACCAAACAGTTTTCCACTTTATGGAATTCCTGTCAGTCTGAAAGAATGTATGAAAACCAAAGGAACTCCAAGTACTGCAGGGATGGCAATGTATCTTGATGACTTTCCAGCAAGGGACTGTGTTCTTGCTGAGGTCCTGAAGCAACTCGGTGCAGTGCCATTTGTTAAAAGTAATTCTGTACAGATCATGCTTAGTATTGAGTCCAGCAATCCAATTTATGGTGAGACATCAAACCCTTTGAATCATGATTTCTCACCGGCGGGTTCTTCAAGTGGAGAAGGTGCCATTGTATCTGCGGGAGGTTCTGTGCTTGGATTTGGCACTGACATAGCAGGAAGCATTCGGGTCCCAGCACATTTTTGTGGAATTTGTGGATTGAAACCAACAAAGCATAGATTAAGCTCTGCTGGCTTGACAGGTTCTATACCTGGTCAGAATGCTGTATCTGCAACTCTGGGCCCTATGGCTAGGGATGTCGACACCATTGTCATGGCAATGCGAGCTCTGCTTTGTGACACCATGTTTGAATTGGACAAAAATGTTCCTCCAATGAAGTTTGATGAAGAGGTTTTCAATTCAAGCGAACCACTACGAATAGGTTATTACTGTGATGATGGATATATGAAACCAGTTCCAGCTTGTCAACGAGCTGTTAAAATTACTAAGGAGGCTTTGGAACGAGCAGGTCATGTACTAGTGCCATATAAAATTCCTGATATGGAACTCTTGATGGAAATGACGACAAGAGCTTTTTACATGGATGGAGGTCGCATCAACCTGGAACGTTTAAAGTATGATATTGTCGATAAACGTTTACTTCCTTCATGGAGGAGATGGAAAATGTCACCTGTTCTTAGAAAATTATATTCAGTGTTTCTCACTTTGACCCAATCTGCTCGAATGGGAAAAGATTTGATGGCATATGGAGGTGGAGACAAGTCGGCATATGAGCTCTGGAAATTAACAGCATGGATGGACGGATACAAGATGAAATTCTGGTTAGAGTGGAAGGAAAAATATAAAATCGATGCATTGATTTGTCCAGTACATCCATTTGTTGCATGTCCAAAAGGAATGGTGTCAAATATGACTGCTTATATGAGTTATGCAACACCATTTACTGTTTCCAATTGTCCTGCTGGCACTGTACCTGTGACAAGAGTCACACAGCAAGATATAGAGGCACTGAAAAGTCAGCGAGGTCATTATGGGGATCAATGGGATCATCACCTAAAAAAAGCATGTATGGGAAGTATTGACATGCCCGTTGGTGTACAATGCGTTACTCCTCCGTGGCACGAAGAAGTTTGCCTCAGGCTGATGAAGGAAGTGGAAACACTTCTACCAATGTAGATTGTGAAAAAATCTTTGTTATTAATTTAATTTGTGACATAGGTGTATTAATCTCTGATTAATTTTTTATCTTTCCTAATTATTGATACTGTGGTTATAGAACCACTTGGTCTTTGTTGAAAAGAGTATTTGGACCACTCCATTCTTTAGAATATAAGACATATAGTGAGCGTCGCAACACTTTTCGATATCTACTGGTATATTATTTTTTTATAGACCTACTTGATAAACCTGTCATATATGTAATTTCAGTGGTTGTATGTACAGATTTAAAAAAGTTTTTGTACCTCGTTTTATATACATACATTAAAGCTAATCAACACATAATTTAAATTCTGTAATGTATTATTAGTTAATTATTCTTCAAATATTATTTCGAATAGGGTTTCTCTTCTAATACGAATGCTAATAAACTTTTTCATCTATTGGAATAATGTTTCACAAAATCAGTCAGTCGCCTTCTTTTTGGTGCATATATAGTGTGGTTATTATTATTAGGAAGAGTAATATGTTCCTCTCTTGTTTATTAATAATTGTGCAATCGTGCTCAGCAATCAGCACTATGTTGTTTAATGCATTTAATGCAATCATTCATATTGTTTCTCCATGTTCTGTATAATTTTATTTTCAAAACACGTTATTTGCAATGCAGCAATTGTCGTTCACATTTTGTGGAATATGTATCAACAAGCCAAAATACCAGAATTATTACAAATTATTTTTGTTTTTTTATGCAATCAGATTATCTTTTAGTAATTACAGTAGGTAATGCAGTCATCATGAATCTAAGCAGTTTTTAGGACTGTATCTTGTTTCTCTGCATCAAGCTTTCTTAAGTTCGGGTAACATATCTTTATAATCTGATAATTCAGCATTCAATATGATAGGCCTATAATATCGGCCATTGGATGGATGTTATTAAACAATTCAGTCGAAATTTGAGATAAATCAGAGAACAACAAAAGTACAAAACATATAAAGAATGTCATAAACAAATAATATAATTTATACGAATGTACCAACCCAGAATTCGTACTTATTATTAGCTTAGATACCAAGATGAGACACACTAACTTGTCCCATTCGTACATTCTTTGGATTTTAGTATAGTAACTTAACTCATCAATCATTATGAATCATGAACTTTATCTTTACAGATATATCCTGTTTTGTCTGAAAAGAAAAAAACTATGAGTATGATCCACAAAAGCTCACTAATATGCTTGCTATTTCGTGGAAAGGGATTAATCTAGTGGTTGTCAAACCTGACTTCACCGGCGTGACTTAGGCCTGAGCGAATACGTAAACTGCTATTTGGGAAATGTGTGGTGTTATAATATCACCCTTCGCTATATTGCTAAGAAATGCTGTTCGTCTGCCGTTGTATATTCAAATTTGATTATTTCCGTTAGTTCATGTTGATTTTGAGCTCCACGTAATGATTCGACACCGAGAAAACTAGAGAGAGTATGAAATTGTATACAATGTAGCTTGCTGGATTTTTTGAGATCGACTGACGTCTTGGACAACGGCCCACATATTTTGAAGGGCCCTATTACGTCACTGTGACGTTGTAGGGACGTAAAATTTAGATGACGTAGTCAGGAATCTGTGGATATTTTTTCTTTAAAACTAATTACCGCATGTTCATTGTATTTTGTTTTTACTGTGGTCAACATATTATCATCAGTACTAATGGAATTGAGTCTATAATACTGCTGAGTTCATCCTAATATTAAGACTGACATGCATTTATTTACTCGTGATTTTCAGAATGTCATTTGTATCTACATTTTGAAAACAGTTGAATTAGGCATAGAATCATGCATTATTTTGCCTTTTCTGCTGGTAGCAAGGGATTGGAGTATTGCGGAAAACGAGGTACAGCGGTTATACTAGGAGCTGGTGCTTTATTTTGGTTGTTTCGTCATCGACAGAAATGTCTTCAGTTGCGTCAGAAAGCTGCTGAAAAAAGAGAAGCGGAGCAAGAATATATTCAACAGAAATTGAATTCACTTGGAGAAGAACTGAATGAAGATATGGTCAGACAAATATTGGATTTAAAAGGACCTGAGTTGTTAAAGCAACTAAAGCAAGGTAGTTTAAATCCTGTGAATGTTCTGAAAGCTTATATTTATGAAGCCTGCAAAGTGACCGGCCAAATTAACTGTGTGAATGAGATAACCAAGGATTGTGAAGATTTTGCAGTTAGTTTAACTGACAAGGAACCAAACAGTCTTCCTCTTTATGGAATTCCTGTCAGTCTGAAAGAATGTATGAAAACCAAAGGAACTCCAAGTACTGCAGGGATGGCAATGTATCTTGATGACATTCCAGCAAGGGACTGCGTTCTTGCTGAGGTCCTGAAGCAACTCGGTGCAGTGCCATTTGTTAAAAGCAATTGTGTACAGATGATGCTTAGTTTTGAGTCCAGCAATCCAATTTATGGTGAGACATCAAACCCCTTGAATCATGATTTCTCACCAGCGGGTTCCTCAAGTGGAGAAAGTGCCATTGTATCTGCGGGAGGTTCTGTGCTTGGATTTGGCACTGACATAGCAGGAAGCATTCGAGTCCCGGCACATTTTTGTGGAATTTGTGGATTAAAACCAACAAAGCATAGATTAAGCTCTGCTGGCTTGACAGGCTCATTACCTGGTCAGAATGCTATATCTGCCACCCTGGGCCCCATGGCGAGGGATGTCGACACCATTGTCATGGCAATGCGAGCTCTACTGTGTGACACCATGTTCGAATTGGACAAAAATGTTCCTCCAATGAAGTTTGATGAAGAGGTTTTCAAGTCAAGGAAACCACTACGAATAGGTTATTACTGTGATGATGGATATATGAAACCAGTTCCAGCTTGTCAACGAGCTGTTAAAATTACTAAGGAGGCCTTGGAACGAGCAGGCCATGTACTAGTGCCGTATAAAATTCCTGATATGGAACTCTTGATGGAAATGACGACAAGGGCTTTTTACATGGATGGAGGTCGCATCAACCTGGAACGTTTAAAGTATGATGTTGTCGATAAACGTTTACTTCGTTTATGGAGGAGATGGAAAATGTCACCTGTTCTGAGGAAATTATATTCAGTGTTTCTCACTTTGACCCAATCTGCTCGAATGGGAAAAGATTTAATGGCGTATGGAGGTGGAGACAAGTCGGCATATGAGCTCTGGAAGTTAACAGCATGGATGGACGGATACAAGATGAAATTCTGGTCAGAGTGGAAGGAAAAATATAAAATCGATGCATTGATTTGTCCGGTGTATCCGTTAGTTGCATGTCCTAAAGGTATGGTGACAAATATGACTGCTAATATGAGTTATGCAACACCTTTTACTGTGGCCAATTGCCCTGCTGGCACTGTACCTGTGACAAGAGTCACACAGCAAGATATAGAGGCACTGAAAAGTCAACAAGGGCATTATGGGGATCAATGGGATCATCACCTCAAAAAAGCATGTATGGGAAGTATTGACATGCCCGTTGGTGTACAATGCGTTACTCCTCCGTGGCACGAAGAAGTTTGCCTTAGGTTGATGAAGGAAGTTGAAACACTCCTACCAATGTAAATTGTGGAGAATCTCTTGTTATAAAATTTCAATAGTTGTGACTGGTCCTGTACAGAAATAAAAATCATACTGAACGCTGAATTTAAATTGTGTGATGCACTACCATTTTTCAAAAGCTATTTTGAATAGGGAATTGAATGTTTCTGCTAAAATTATTATTCATATCATAAGTAAATGAATGGAGTTGTAGGTATTTGTGGAATAATAGACTTTGCACATCTTTGTGGTAAAAAGTTTGAATATATTAAAAGGGTTTTACTTTATAAATATAAAGTATTGTTGAACAATGGAGCTGATTTTGAAGCATCAAATATGGTACCATGATATGTATTTCTCTCTATGTATTTCTATATCTATTTACTATTTATGTACTTCTACTTGAAAATGATTGAATAAAGTCCAGTATTCCACTTCTATTACTAATGATAGTGAACTTTTCTATCTGGTGGAATAATGTTTCACACAATCGGTCGACGGTCATTATCTTCTTTTTGTTATGTATATAGTGGGATTATTATAATTAATAAAAGTAAGATGTCCTTAATTTTTTTGTTACTTAGTTGCACAATTGTGCTCAGCACTATGTTGTTTAATGCAATCATTGATATTATTTCTTCATAGTTTGTATAGTTTCATTCGCTACAACTCGCTTTTCAAAATGCAGTAATTGATGTTCACATTTTGTGGAATATGTATCAACAAGCCAAAATACCAGAATCATTACAAAATCATTTTTGTTTTTTATTCAATCAGATTAGCCTTTAGTAATTAGGTAATGCAGTCATCATGAACCTAAGCAGTTTTTGGAACTGTTTCTTCTTGCTCAGCATATTCATTCATCGAGCATTCTTAAGTTCAGGTAACATAACTTTATATTCTGATTATGAATTATCCAAGCCTTCAATTTTATATACCGTAATAATGGCCATTGGGGGGATGTTATTGGGGAATTTATACAAATGCACCAACTGGAATCCGGAGATAGTCAAAATGAGACTAAATCCTACCATTCCTATAATTTTCGGATTTTTGTATAATAACTTGTCAACTTGCATTTATATCTTTAATAACTTGCATTTATATCTTGTTTTGTCTGAAAAAGTAAGACTACAGGTACAATATCACAATATCAATCTAACAATATCTGATTCGTGGAAAGAGATTATGCAATTCTTAATAATTTAGGAAGCTTTATGTTTGGAATATGGAGGTTTTTGTATGTAAAATTTGAAACTATGATGATGAGCACGTTTTAAAGTTAACTTTTCATACTCCTTTATACTATGGTACATAATATTTTCATTCGGTTTATTCTGACAGTTATGACACATCCATTCGCCTTGGAGTACGGTTTGTAAATGATTTGATTATTGAACATAAGTGAATAAACCGATTCCTGGGGAAAAATTAATGTTGTGACTTTTCCACTGACACTGATGTCAATAAATTTGATATCATTTTTATTAAGATTATTGTACCGACCATGGATACACTCCGGAATATGGAACCAGGAGTCCTCCTGCACAACAAGGACTTGCTTTCTTTTCTGGATCAATGATTAGATATAAATGTGATGAATATTTCACATTAACACCTGATGTTCCTACACAAACTTGTATGAAAGGACAGAATGGTCAAAGGTTTTGGATGCCTGAAAACCCACCAAGTTGTGTTGAAAGTTAGTTTGACTAAAGCACCTTATTTTAAGAATCAATACTTCAACTAGATTTGACAATTGTTGGTCTCAAATAATAACAAATTAGCATCCAGATTTTGATACTATAAATTGGACTTTATGTTTCAATATGAATAGTCAGAAAAACTTGATTTAATCCATGTTTTAATGAATTATTCAAAGTCATAGTGAATTGTGACAACCTTTTTAAAATACTTATGATTGAAATCTGAAATTAACAAATTTGAGTAGAAGATTGAAAATGTTTTATATAGTAAATATGATTGAATTTATTTAACTTAAAACTAAATATTATCATTGGTATAATTGATGTAAAAAATATAAAACATTAGAGAAGCAATGATACTTGCGTTATCATTAGTTAACCCAGAGTTTGGCAAACCACGGCCTGTGGGCCCTATGCGGCCAAAACATTTTATGCGTCTTCCACTCTCAGAGAAAGTTGTGATAATTTATTCAAATATCTAATTTATAAATTGATGGTCTCAAATTCTTTTTCTCAAGTGAATTCATATCAGTTGATATTGTTATATAAATATAATTCTCGTATTTAAAAAATTATAATTTAGGATATTTTCTATTTTTACGTATAAATTTTTGAATAAAGATATTTATGTGATATGATATTTTTCGAAAAATGAAGTACTTTTCTCAATGCGGCCATTGCAGAAAGCATTTTCTGGATTTTGGCTCTTGTAGAAAAATCTTTGTCCGTGCCTAGGTTAGCCGATACTTCTTCTATTAATCATTTTTTCAAATATTAATTTATACATATATTTTTTCTGCAGTGACAAAATGTCCAACGCCGAAGATGGAACATGCATTTATTTACAAAGATGTATTTCATGAAGGAGACCATTTGTATCCATATTTCTCATGTGAAATGGGTTATACTACTTTTAAAGAAAATAACTCGGTTTGTTTGAGCAGCGGAAAATGGACTACCTTGCCTGTTTGTGTTGGTGAGTTCTCTGCACTCTGCAGTATTTATTTTGGATATTGGTTGGTTGTAACTTGTAACCAGGCCAGAAATATTGGTTGTTGTTGGTTTCTGTGTATGCTGATGCACTATTTTTAAATCTGTTATATATAATATATACAGGGTGTCCATGAAGTCCTTTTACAATTTCAATTTTGTTATGTCAGTTCTCAATAGATCTTAACCAGGTTTGTATAATCAGTAATTGTGTGAGTATTTTTACTCCATTTAATACATCTGTGATGGTCAAAGCAATATATGGTATCGATAAATTCCCTTTGCAATTTAAAAATAATTTACGACTTTATGGACACTCTATATTATTGCAGTAGGCTATGCGTATACAGATCATTGAATATTCGTAAAGATTGTGTTTTTAGTGAGGGTAGTTTGATTGATTTTTTGCTCAGATACCAATTAAGCATGAATTGATTTAAAAGTCAAACAGCAATTTTACAGATTTACTTTTTTCAAATAAAAATAAAGCTAAATTCTGGTTGAAATCAAAAATTGATATTGTCAAGCATATACAAATTTGAATATATATTCAATCTGTTTCGAGCATCTCTATTGTAAATATATTCACTCTTTTCTATTTTTGTCTTGAAAAAATTTTTTTTTTTCAAATTTATTGGATTAACAACTTAACAACACATTTTGAATTTATGCAGTTAATAAAATCGATCACATGCTCTCATAAAATTTCTAAAATGTGAGGCCTGTGCAATAAAACTCGTCAGCAATATAGCTCACCTGATATCATAAATCTGTACAAGTATGTTAATCTCATAATATTTCTCTTTCATAAATATTGCAAATGGTACATTCTAAATGTAATATAGCAAACTAGTCATATGATTTTATGCTTATGATGACAACCATGCTAAGTTAGGTCCAGCTTTCTTTAGGGTTCTCACCAGTCACCACACCTGGGTAGGCTATGTTGAACTGCAAAACTATATTTACTTTTTAAGGTCATTTTTTATTTTTTCAGGTAAAAACTGTACAAATCCTCCGGATATTGAACATGGGTCTTTCAGATTTTATTCTTATTTGTTGAATCCAAATTTTGCCGAAGAAATATTTTCAAGGTATATTTTATTTTGACAGCTCAAAATATCATTGGTTCAGATATCAGTAATCTAATTTCTCCACCATGGTGAAAATACGAACTATACATACACAAATAAAAGAAAATATAAAAATTGCATTTAGCATGGAAGGAGACACCGAAAACCAAAACTGGTTATCGAGTGGTGGCACTATTTATCACTTGTACTATCTGAATGTATATTTAGGAGTCATGCTTTCGTATAAAGAAAAAAACTGGATATATTGAGTTTCTCATTTTGGTGTTGATGTATGATCACTGGTCACTGACCTTCAATTTTGAATATTGCTTTAAAAAATTCAACTTTTAAATATATATACATTTGGCTTAGACCAGTCAGACACTTATTTTATGCCTGATAACTTTTTATATAAATGTATGAATGTAATTTTTGTAATGGCGCGGCGGTGTGGCTCAACGGGCTAAGCGTTAGGAATACGCTCGCCACCGGCCACCGCACCTCTAATTACTCTGCGTGGGTTCGCAGGTTCGAATCTAATGCAGGGATGGTTATGTGCGAGAGGATTGCTGGACTCCTCGCCGTCGTTGGGTGGTTCATGTAACCGCTGCTTCCTCCACCACCAAGTCCATGCTTCCGAAAACAAACTATATATAACTAATCCCATACCCGACTTGGAATGGTAACCGGATGAGAGGCCGTGGTTCGCCATTTGGATAAGCCGTCATATCGGCTTTCCTATCCCCCGGGATAAATATGTAAATCCTATCCTATCCTAAGGTGGTTGGTCTGATAAGCAGTTTGGACAATTATCAATAATTGTTTACAACATTAGTATTCTTTCAATGCACGCTATAGTAAAATTGAAGATAATGGGAGCTGTTCCTCTATCATTTGTTGCTTGTCCAAATCCTTTGCTTTTGAAAGGGTGTGAAATTTTTTCTTTCTTTCGTAGATGCAATCGGAGTTCAAAAGCTGATAAAAGGTTTACAAATAATCAGATAAGACGCTGCTAGTTAACTGAGTAACCAGAACCAGATAATTATATTCCATATAATTCAACCATGTCAACACTTTATAAATATTATTATCTCTTTTATTTCTGAGTGAGTGCGTGACCCTGCTTTGCATGAAAAAAAATTAAAAAAAAAAACGAATCATTTTTTATTATTTTCTTTTATTTCAGTACAAACTCATGGCCACCTGGGACTACAATATTCTATACTTGTGACCAAGGATATGTTTTAGAAGTAGATGGGTCTGTAACAGTACAAGATCGAGTTTGTACAAATGGTGAATGGAGTGGATCAGACCCACAGTGTGGTAAGTTCAGTCCCATTTTATTCTTCCCGGTAACATTTATTAGGTTTCAAACACAATTAGTTACAGAATTATTTACTGTACATGTATGAACAACCATTTTCAATCATTAACATTAATAAATTATTGGACACAAAGTAGTGGTCTTATGGATCGTTTTGCTAAATGCCACTGTTCTTATGTTTGGGTTATTGTTGTTGTGAAAAAATTGCTATTCACAATAAAATGGTTCAATCTTCTTCACATTTTCAATACCTAGACTGAAGAAGTTCCTAGAAAAATATTGCTTATATTTTTTTGTCCTACAGATCCCGATAATTTTCTGGTTTTAACTTGCAGGCACATTTTTTTTACACCATTGTTTGCTACAATTCTTTTATTGTTATATACGACTTTTTTTTCTTTTTTGACATGACTTTCCCTGTCATTGCAGAGTTAGTCATTTGACGTTTGTGTTACTATATTTTAGTATTATTTTTTATTATTATTAATTAACATATCCTAATTTCAGTTCGTGAAGGATGTGATCCACCTGCAGTTGGAAATTACATTCCTAAACAAAGTCATTATGAGGTTCACAACACATTAACATATATTTGTGATGGCAATGACCTTACCAGAACATGTCAGCCAGATCACACTTGGAGTGGAACACCTTGTCCTGAAGGTAAGACCCTGGTGAAAAAATAAGGATCTGACATGGATGGTATACATTTAATCAAATATAAATGCTGCCTATGCCCAATTGTATTGTATTGTCAATAATTTATATAGTTTCAGACAATAAGTATACTCATGTATTGTTCGCCTAAATAGTTGTTCTTATTGAGGTTGTTGTTGTTGCTGTTATTTTAATAAGGGTCTTATTTTCAATCTCAAATTAGGCTGTTCCCTGCTCACGTTTTATATGACATTGGGTACAATTATTTTAACGCTTTGTATAACAGTGGTGGCCATATTGGTCATAGGTGTCAGTGTCAGTATATTTAAGCATTGCTCTCTCGATTCCTAAGGTTTATCAGTACCAATGCAAAATTTTTAATGTAAAGTTATATGCTACCGCCTACCGATATGTACAAGGAGGAAAAAGATTTATTTCACAATTATAATCAAAAAAATAGAATGATTTTACATCATTATATAAAAATTTCGTTCTGAAATGAACAATTTTCATGGGGCATAAGATATGCTAAAATTTCTATTACATTTGACGATGAATAAAAATATGTGAGTTGTGTTTCTTTAATAAAACAAAGCAAATCATAAATGAATAATGACAGTATGCTCAAAGTGAATCAATTATCTCAGAATTTGGTTGTCGTTGAGGATATTTTTTAAAATACCAATAGCTAAACTAGAATAGAAAAAACATTATTCAGTCGCAGACAACATCTTTTAACAATAACTTCTTCAATAATTTATAAATAAGATTTCGTTACAATTTCTCAGTTGCACTTTGTGTTTTTGTAAATGTTGCGAAATCATTTATTATTCATATTCTGGTTTATACTTTAAATGCCTGTTATTTCAATTTTCAATTTCTGGTTTACGGTTACGTATTTCTGGTTCTGTAGAATATATAGTTAAGTACTTTAACAATTTAGCAGAGTAGAGTTATTAGTTGTATTCAATTTCTTTTTAGCTTTTTGTGAATTTTCATTTTCTTGAAGCATTACTGATTTTAAAATATAAGATTAAAATTGAATTTAAGCTATGCTATTCTCCTTCACTCCATTACTCACTGATATTACTTTTTAGGTTGTTTCTCAAACCCAACCAATATAAGTAGACCTAGCCAGACATTGTTTATTATTTTATCTAAATTTAGCAATTCTGGAATAGTCTAGAAAAAAAAGGATTCCAGATGTTGCATCTGTTTCTGAGATAGAAAATTCCTTTTTCTATTTTGAGTATAGAATGGTTTCTAATGGTTGAACTCTATTGCTAGCTTTGAATGTTTGGAATTAGTCATTTTTGTCTGAAATTCCCTTTGGACATGTTCTTTGCTACAACAGATGCAAAGAATACCTGTAAGTCTGTAACATATGGTAAATGTAGAAAAATAGGTCAGGATATCAGATTTTTGTGGTTTCATGAATAAAAGATAATTGATACTGAAAAAAGGTACAGATGTATCAATGTGGCTATTGGTTTATACAAAATCATAATGAGATTTTCAAGGGAAAATTTTGGAATTTTTCGCATCTCCATGATGGAACGTGACCCTTGTTTCTATTTGGGTGTCGGGGAATATACTGACGTACTTGGTGCTCATACAAGACAAGGTTCTCTTTAGCTTTAGTCATTTATTGCAATATTGCATAACGACATTTCGAAAATATGGCTATAACTTAAAAAAAGGAATATAAATAACATATTACAAAGTTACAATCTCATTCATTAATACAGGACCATGAATTTTAAAAGTCGATTTAGTTTACTTTGCATTGAGTAATAAAATTATGTCTTATTAATTAAACTGATTTGTATCTCACAAATAGCGAAATAGGAAACATATACAGTAGGCCAGGGCTACTCAACTATTTTTATCGAAGGTCCGCAAACAAAACTTCAAAATTATTTGGATCCGGTCTTTCCAAAAATGATATTTCGGCATCCTTAAATGAGCACTTCCTCGACCGACTAATGATTAGTAGCATATTAAAATTGTTTATTATGGTGTTATATTTCTTTTCGTATATATTCAAAACTATGAAAGTCATTTTATGATAGAAAATTCAAAAAGTGGGGCTAATGATCCAAAATAAATAATTAGGTGCGGTCCAAATCCAATACTCGAAAGGTCCGGATTCGGACCGCGGTCCGCCAGTTGAGTAGCCCTGCAGTAGGCTATAGGATTTCATCCAATAACCATTGCTGTCTTGAGTAGAATAAGAAATAGTGACTTGAGGAACATTGCATATTGTACTACCTTATGAATTTTCATTGTTTATTTGTTTATGTCCTTAAGATTTTTTGCTTTGGTTTTATCTATTGTAGTGCTGATAACTATCCCCAGCATATTGCAATAAATAATAAGAGAATACAACTTAGACGTAATAAATGTTTTTGATTGTATAGGACATATTAAAAAGATGAAATATTATCAAGGGGGTCTTATGAATATGTGGTGGAAAGACTTCACTTACACCGTTGAGCTCATATTTTCCAAATTGTTGATATATTCTTTGTATGATCAGTATGAAACCATATGTCTCCACTCTCCATCTGTATATTTTTCTATGTATTGCTTAATGCTGTGTTTAATGCCTGTGGCAAATAATCTGGCTTTTCAATGCTTTTTACATAACCTTAGAACATTGATTTCTTCTTATGATACATTAACTAAATGCTTTTGAGTCGTGCTGTGTTTAGTGTTCGTATTCACCATGAGACTGTTTATTAGGTTTGAATGTTGTTATGGATGTTTTAAGTGATGTGCTTATAGTTGGCCATGGAGCACAACAACGAAGTGTAGGACTCTTAGTTTCAATAGCTTGATAGTTAAATAATAGACATTCGTGGGAAGCCTATAAAATTACTAAGATGAGGAAAATGTCGTCACCGGCAACTGTATTATGTGGTATTTCGTATCCTTCTATGTTACCCTGTACACAGCATGTTAATTTTTGCCAATGAGGCCAAGAGTTTCGATACTAGTTTCTCCATAATTATCTTTGCTGATGATGGCCAACAGTTTTAAAATTGCTTTAGGGAAAAATTTGAGAATATGTATGAATATATTAGGTCACCAATCGTCATTTTAATGGCCTGCTCCAATTAGTGCTCCTATTCAAGGTACTCGAGATCAGACAGATGGTCGGTCCTATCCACAACATAAATACGGAAATCATATCCTTGATTGTTCAGGTTAACATTGAAGTAAATATCCGCGACCCTTTGCTGGTGACGGGCACTGACTGCGTAGGATTCACATTTGATAATATCACCATCGATTCAACCACGATTCCGCTCCAGGAAATTACCACCGAATTGACCCGCACTTTGAAATTTCGACTTCCAATATAATACGATTCATTGTTTTTGTAACGCTTATTATTCGGGTCGTGTCAATTGACTTTGGATTCACGCATCGGTATATAATTTATTTCCGAAACGCGCCTCACGCCATCGTTGGGAAGCGTCATCGGGTATCACAATTCACAAGCAATTAAATTGAATCGAAATTATAAACATCTCTAAGGATTGTCCTCAACTTGACATCGAAAGTTTCTTCACATTGTGTGTCAGACGATGCCACGGTCACTTGTACTTTCTGCTCGTATTCTGAGATTCCTATTTTGATGAAGGTCATTGCCAACTACTTATTTCTGTTCATACGGAAATTATATACCGTAACTGTAGAGTCAGGGCAGTGACGTCATATGACGTTTAGTTATTGAATTATGAATAATAATATGTACCGTTATATTGATGTGTATTATATATATATAGTTTCTGAAACCATCTATGCTTCGAATATATATCCTGTGGGTACACGTAAACAGATCACTAATTTCAATTTACCATTGAAATATTCAGTCATCAGTTTATCACTGAATAGCTTTCAGATGCATTTTCACCTGATTGATGGCGTGACTTTGAAGGACCAAGAAGCAATATTCTAAATTGCTAAAAACCACAATACTAAACAGAATATAACGTATTATGATATGAGTTAACATAATCCGTCATGAATCAACCAAATATAGGCACGGACATATCTGAAGTGTTGTTACTTTGAAACTCCTCTTTCTCATGATGATATTTCCATTGCCCGAAGGCAAGATTCGGAATGGCAATCATAACTTTGCGTGAGTCTGCGCTAAGTTTTCTCTCCGTTCGCTTCAACTTTTTTGATATGCAAGCGTATGAAGGACCCGTTTTTTTTTTATTCAAAGGTTAGTCATTGGCCGTTAAAATTAGAGAGTTTATCAAATTATAACCAATTAATTAACGACCAACCAGATAAGGAAACTGGACGAGTGATGGTTACACTTAAGAATAAAATTCGCAGAAGGCCTAACAATATTCCACTTACCGTAATTTATGAAATTATGCTTAACATATTGCCTGTTATTGTCAAATGTCAATATGTGTTCCAGTGTTACTGTCATCCCAATATGAATTATAAGATATAACATTTTGATGTGATTGAACTGACTTTCGATGTTGTCATTGATAGCTTTTAAGAAGATACAAAACCCAACGTTCTTTCACAATCAATAGTCCTTGAAAATTTCCAATTCAGTGACGATATTTTCAAAACATTGCCGGGGATCGTCACGAAGCGGCAAGTAGTTTAGCCCACATTAAGCATTTCAATATTCTATGTGTTAGGTAGCGAGTTAACGGTGCATAGGTAATACGACATGGTATGTCAGAAAATCTGATTAAGTGTTTGGATTAATAGCTGGAGGCAAAAAGTTTTCGAATGTTTAATGAAGCTGTTTTTTTTCTTTGTTCCAATTGCACTAATATCTTCATTTAGTACAGATAATACTGTGATCCATCATATTATGCAATAGTAACACTTGCATGCGAAATTGGGGAAAAATATTTTATAGTCGTCTGACTAATTCAACGAGCTACGGGTATATTTCTGCTGGTGACCGTACATTTGAACCCATGTGTATATCCGCGGGTTCAATCTATATGCGGGTGCTA